GACTTATTTTCTATAAATCCCACCCTGGCCCTGCTGTCTCCAGTGCTGAGATAGGGTCTTGGTGTTTTGAGAGACCTAGTATTGAAGAGCCGAATCCAGAGCAGCTCTGCACAGCAGATCCCCCTGGGGCCAGAGGGGCCGTTTGCAAATCCAAGCAGATCCGCTTCTTGGAGGGTTCTCCAATGGGAGCATCTCCCAGGATTGAGGCCTGCATGGGTGGCCTGTGTTATATATGCAATTTTAAATGATCTAGTTACCACATTAAAGAAAGGCAGGCCGGGAGGGGGTGACACTGGGTGCCATGACTCATGCCTGTAATCCCAGCACTTCGGGAGCCCAAGGCAGGTGGATCACTTGAGCCCAGGAGTTTGAGGCCAGCCTGGTCAGCATGGCGAGACCCAGTCTCTACAAAAAATACAAAACAATTAGTCGGATGTGGCGGTGCACACCTACAGTCCCAGTCCCGTGGGAGATTGAGGTGGGAGGATTGCCTGAGCCCAGGAGTTGGAGGCTTCAGTGAGCTGTGACTGCACCAGTTCACTCCAGCCTGGGCAACAGAGTGAGACCCTATCTAAAAAAAAAAAGAAAAAGTTAAAAAAACTATATTTTCTATTCAGCCCACTATTTTGATAACAATCAGTTATTGTGTTATTAATATTTTACACTATTTTCCATACTAAGTCTTTGAAACCCAGTGTGTAAAGAATCTTCAAGTACATCTCCATGTGGACGGGACACATGTGGCCAGCGGCTCCTCTGAGGGACAGTGTGGTCACGGCGATGGGTGGCGTGTGCTGCCTGTACATAGGTCCCCATGTGTTTCTGCGAAGGCCCTGAGGGATGTGCAGGGGAGGGTCGACACTCTGTCCCAGCCGTGCAGAGGACCCTGGAATGCAGCACGCTGCCAGCGCGCCCCCGCCCCAGCCCCTCTGCTGCCTGAGCTCTTTCCCAGATGTCCACTTAGCTAACCTCCCTCCCCTTCTTCCCTTTCCTTCTTTCCCCAAACGTCACTCTCAGGCAGGTCTGCAGGCTCTCCGATTGTCAACGGCAGCCCTTCCCCTCCCCACCCTCTTAACACCCCCCACCCCACTTGTTATTTTTCTCCTCAGTGCTTACGGCCATCCACCCCTGGGCATCATGCATTTGTTCACTGTGTTTCTTGCTTTCGGGTCTCTCTTGATCGGAACAAGCTCCGCCAGGACCAG